TGCAGGAAACAGCTCTCATTGAGGGCGTGTAATACCCCTCAGGTGAGCTGACCTTCGGAGTGCGAGAATGCTCGCTGTTTCTGGCCCAAGTGGGCCCTTGGTAGTCTTTCAGACGACAGCTGCGCTGGGGCGCAAAAGGTCTGTGCCTTTTGTGCAAGGGAACCTGTAGGTTGTTCATGGTAGCGGAGCGGCGGCTCCAGGGATTTTCGAAGAGCTCCGTGGTTTGAAGAGAGTGCGATGGCTGAGAAGAATGATCCTTTCCGGGATCTGGTTTTCAGCGGGGCACCCTCGGAGTACCGGCTCTTTCGGCGGAAGATTCTGCTGAACGTGGCATCGTTAGAAGAGAAGCATGTGAAGCTAGCTGGGCCGAAGATCCTCACTCGGTTGACTGGGGAAGCCTGGCGGGCCACGGAGCATCTTTCGATAGCAGAGCTGCGCTCAGAAGATGGTTGGCTCCGGGTTCTGCAGGCCTTGGACGAGCACTACAAGTACCTGCCGGAGACGGAGTTGAATGAGTGTGTCGACGAGTTCCTCTTCCACCTGAAGAGGCGCTCGGGTGAAGGGCCGACGGCCTTTGTGTCGCGCTTCAAGGCAGTCCTCAGCCGGCTCGAGACGCTGATCGCTTCGGAGCGTGCCGAGCGAACCGCCAGCAAGAGGAAGCGCGATTCGCGTGTGCCACATAGGCAGACGGACGATGATGAGAGCCCAAGTTCTGGTGCCGACTCGGAGGAGCCCACCTTGACGAAGGACCGAGTCGAGGCAGCAGCGGCGGCTTCTGGGGAGGATAAGCAGCCCACGGCGACCGACACCAAGGGCCCGAAGACGGTCGGAAGCTTTGTGGGCGAGAGATCTCCCAAGCGTGGGCCGCCTTCGTCGGGCGGTTCCCACCATAGCCGCGGCACCCAGAAGGGTGACGAGGAGCGAGCCCAGCGCCGTATGCTGGAACGGCTGGGCCGCTTGGAGGTAGGCCACTTGAAGCTGAAGCCGGTCTTTCCGGCGGTGATCTTGGGCCACCTCTTCATGAGAAAGTATGGCTTGTCACGGGAGCAGAGAAGTCAGGTGATCAGATCGACCGGCGGCTCCTGCAAATTTGCCGACATCGAGAACGTGATCCGTGCCTCGGACTATGAAGACCGTCTTGGAGATGGCGGCCACCGGGGCAACCAGCAACGGGCTGCCAGACCAGGTGGCGCGATCATGGCCGCCGACGAGGGCAGCAGCCTGAGTGAGCCTTCTTTTTCTGATCCGGAGGCCTATGAGGCCGGAGAGGCGTCGGGCAGTGATATGGACGAAGAACTGGAAGAGGCCTTCGAGATCCACAAGAAGGCCCGCAACGACGCCAAGAAGGCCTTCAGATCGTACCGCGACAGTCGCAAAAAGGTCAGGGAGATCAAGAAGGAACGCCAGCCGTATATGCCGGTAGTGGCTCTGCCGGCAGGCTCGACACCGGTTCCCGAAGGACTTCCCGTTCAACCGACTTTTCGCTATGATCGCAAAGATGGTCGCCGCGGGGACAAAGACAAAGGCCGCGGACGAGGGGGCAGGAGAAAAGAAGAAGTGAGCCTGGTTCAGACCAGCCTCCTTTCAGAGTTCTCCTACATGGTTGAGGATGTAGAAGCTACCTGCACCTATGATGAGTGCGAGGTGCTCTCGGCTTCGGTGCCGACCGGCATGGCGGTGGTCGACACGGGCTGCACGACCTCGGTTGTGGGCCGGGAAACGGCTGATCGATACCGCGCCCTGTGGCAGGAGCGTGGTCTTCCTGAGCCTGCTTCAGTTCAGCTGGCTCCTGTCCAGCTGCGGGGCTTCAATGGGGCCCGATCGGTTGCCACAGAGGGGCTTCGATGGACTGTGAGGCTTGGGGCTCTGTGGGGCCAAGTGACCACGTACGTGATCCCAGGTCAGGCCCCCTTCTTGTTGTCTCGCAAGGTGCTGCAGGGCATGAATGCCCACCTGGACTTAGGAGCCTCGACCATAACTAGCGAGAAGCATGGCATGCACCAGCAGCCTCTGTCTCATGCAGCCAACGGGCACTTGCTGCTCCCCCTGGTTCCAGATGCAGAGGGCGAGGCGGCCTTCCAGGTGCAATGCACAGGCCCTGCCGAGGTTCCTCGTCTGAAGCCTACTCCCGAACCTCCACAGAAAGCCCCAGATAAGACCAGCAAAGTCAGGCTTCCGGCTGCCGATCTCCGGAAGAATTTCCAAACCGTGATGAAGCACACCCGGTATACGCAGGCTGATGTGGGTTCTAACAGGTATCCTTTGAGAATGTTGTTCGGTTGTGATGTCGACTTTGCTATGTGCGCCTACCGGCCTAGATTTGAGAGGACCCCCAAGCAAGCCGCCTCCCATAGTTTGTACCAATCCATCGTGCACTTGTCTCCGTCGGGCGACTTGGAGACCACTGAATGGCACCCTCGCCCTGCCTGTGCAAGGCGAGAAGCTTTTGACCGCCCGGGAGCGTGCATCTTCGCATACCGGTACCGAGAGCCGGAACCACAGTCATGCAAGCAGGCCTTACAGTCAGGTGATTCACTTAAGGGGAATGCATCTACAAGATCCGAACCAGGGTGTGTCACAGAATCTCCCGACCCTAAGTCCTCAGACCTACCCGATGACGCTATGTCCCAGCAAGAACCCGAATGTGCCGAGGTGCCCAGTGAGCTGCAGGGGCACGAAGTTTGCGATTGCTGCGCCCACAGCGCATCAGCTGAGGAGGGCACGGCCGGTGGTGTTACAACCCCTGGGCAGAGCCTTGAAGCCTTGTATGATGAACTAGATTGGGTTACCCTAAGCCACCTGCCTGTGCCTAGTGAAAGTAGGAAGAAGATAGCCCGACAGGTTGAGTCTGTGCGCCGCGTGCCCTTTCAGATGGCCCTAGCTGCCCTTGAAGAGCAGCCCCAGCAAACTGAAGATGAACTTAAGGGTTGGCTAGGGGCTCAAAAGGATAAGCTTGAGAGTCAAACTGGTTTGATCGAAGTATTTGCTGGAACTGCGCGACTGTCTAAGCAATGTGAGCACCGTCGTGGCTTGAGCAGTATTCAGATAGGGCTTGAGTTTGGACATGATTTGACCAGAGCTCGAGATCGACGTTTGTTGCTCTTGCTGATAGGGCGCTGCAGATCCAAGGATGTTTGGTTTTCATGGCCTAGTGGTGCTTGGTCAGGATGGTCCCGCATGTGTCTAAGTAGGGGTGGTAAGGTTGCCGAGGAAGTCACCCAGCACCGTCAGCGTGAACGGCCCTTCCTCCGACTCTTTGAGCAAGCCTGGTCCCTACAAACCCTCTTAGGAGGCCATATCCATGCCATTAATCCCCTCACCTCTCAGATTTGGAAGGAGCTGTCCCTAGGACCTGTTTTCGAAGTAGACTTCCACATGTGTGCTGTTGACCTAAGATGTCCTCAGACCCGGCTCCCGCTCAAACGCCCCACTAGGGTTATAACTAGTGACCATCACATGGTGAAGGCCCTTCAGCGCTGCCAGTGCCCAGGGCACCAGGAGCACGCTCACCTAGGAGGGGCTCGCCCGCCCGCAGGGGTGGAAGTTCTGCCGCGCCGTTTTTGCCGCGTTGTTGCAGCCTGCCTCACCAGTGCATGACATATTTCTTGAAACCGACGAAGAGGCAGACTCAGAGCGTGAGTCCGAGGTAGAAGACGGGGTGCCTGAGGGGGAGCCTCACCGAGCCCGCGTAAGGTCCTTCAAGGCCATGGTTCAGAAACTCCATGTGAACACCGGTCACGCCTCGACCCCTCAGATGCTTAGGCTCGCACAGCGTGCTCGGGCACCTCCCGGCGTCATCGAGGAAATTCGAAAGTTTCGCTGTCCGATCTGCGAGGAGCTTCAAGTGCCACCGTCCCACCGAGTAGCGGCCCTAAAGCACACGGAGACCCCTAATCACATAGTGGGTATAGATGTTGTTCAGGTCGAGCTTAAGAGGCAGGGGACTAGTGGCGTGGAAGAACGCAAGTTTCAGGTTCTAACGGTGGTAGATTACGCAACTGACTTTGCACAGCAGATAGTTTTGCCGCCTGGACCCCGATCGGTCGGCAGTGCCTTTCACGCGGTGTGGTGCCGGCCTTTTGGCCCACCCCGAGTGATCTACGTGGATCCTGACCAGAGATGGATGTCAGACGATTTTCAGAGGTACCTCCGTTGCAATTCAATCACCTTACTGGATAGTGCCACGGAATCTCACTGGCAACTTGGCCGCGTGGAGGTAGCTCAGAAAATCCTTCGCATGATGGCCCAGCGTGTCTGGCGGACCTCGGAACGATCCCCAGAGGAGGTCATTGAGAGCTGCAGCGGTGTCCGGAATGAACAGCTTAAGCGCCATGGTTTCTCTAGTGCACAATGGTTCCTAGGTAGAGAGCCTCGGGTTCCCGGATCATTGGCGGACCTCAGTGAACAGCAAAACCCTGCTGTTCAGGATGCCGTGCATGCTGAGACCGATTTTGCACAGAAGATGCAGATACGCCAGCAGGCTGCAGAGGCCTTCCTGCAGGCACATGCGCATACCACATGGTCCCGTGCCATAAAAGGGAGGAACAGGCCGATTCGAGGTCCGTATGTCGTAGGTCAAAGTGTCTATGTGTTCAGGAAACAAGGTAAAGGCCAATTCTCTACAAGGCACGGGTCCTGGCTCGGCCCGGGGCGCGTCGTGGGCACCGAAAGCTTCCGTGAAGGGAGTCCCGTTCCCAGGGTCATCTGGGTAGTCGTCAATGGTTTCATGTATAAGTGTTCGCCAGAGTGTCTTCGCCCCCTGGTTGAGGATGAAGTTGCGTTCAAGCAAATTGCTCAGGAGTTTCACGCCGGACACCTCCCGGAAGAATTAGAGCAAGTAACGCCGTCCAGGAGGGGCCCCGCCGGGCGATACTTTGACTTGAGCCAAGACCTTCCCACTGATCAAGATTTCTTGACGCCACCCGCCTCTGACCAAGAGGGCGAGGCGGACCCTCCTGCGGACCGAAATGTGCGTCGCCGCATCACTCGAGATGACGAGTACTGGCAATCTCGAGCTGCGAGTGCCTCTCCACGAGGGGAACCTCTGGTTCGCTTCCGGGACGATCCTCCCGAAGGACCTGAACAGCCGGTGCCCAAACTGGCACGTACTTCCGTAGAGCCCGAAGACCTCGCAGACTACTCCCCTTCTTTACCGCCATCTGAGCCAGCTGATGAGGCCCGGATTTCGGAGGATCTGCCCCCAGTGCCTGACACCCCCCTGGGATCAGACATAGAGATGTTGCCTGATTCCGACAATCTGTGCTGCGAAATTGCCCTTGACATTTTTGAAACCGATATCGTGGATGATCCTGGGTCTCTTTGGACAGTCTTAGACGAGTGCGCCGTAGTGGCAGCCCGCCCAGGTCAGAAACGGAGGGTCGAAGTCAGCTTCCGTAAGCTCGGCCCTAAAGACCGCGAACGCTTCAAGGGTGCTATGAAGAAGGAATGGCAAAGCTGGCTAGAGAACAAGGTCACAACAATAGCTAAGTCCAAGGGGATAGCTAAAAGCCGCATCATAGGTTCCCGCTGGGTTTTGACTTGGAAGAAATCCTCTGATCCCGATGACCGCACCCTTACACCCAAGGCCAGGCTAGTGCTTGTGGGGTTTCAAGACCCTGATCTGGGAAGGATCGCCACAGACAGTCCGACTCTCCGAAAGGAGAGTAAGCATATCATCCTCAGCATCTGTGCGAGCAAGGGCTGGGTAATTTGGGGTGCTGATATCAAAACTGCGTTTCTTTCCGGGGACAATTCCAATCGTGACCTGTACTTCCGTCCACCCGATGAAGTGAAGGAATTCCTCAACTTGAGTGATGATGATGTGCTGCGCCTGGAAAAGGCGGCCTATGGGCTTGCAGAAGCTCCACGTGCATGGTTTCTCCGCCTGACTCGGGAGCTGATTGCTGTAGGCCTTGAAGTTTCTCAGCTTGACCCGTGTGTGTTTATCCTACGGTGCGTTTCTTCAAAGGCATTGCTCGGAGTTTGCGGAGTCCATGTTGACGATCTGCTCGGTGGGGGGACTTCCCACATGGACCTTTGCCTGGAGAAGCTTCGTGCTACTTTGCCCTTTGGGGACTTTCGTAAGGGCACTATCAAGTACACCGGGGCTGAGATTAGGCAACTGAAGGATGGCAGCATCGAAGTGAGTCAAGAGACTTATATTGACAAAATGGAAGAAGTGAGCACGAAGCCCTACGGCAAGGCGTCGAATCCTCTTCCGGAGCCGACCCTCATGCGTGCATGCTGCGGCCAGTTGGCTTGGGTTGCCAATCACAGTCGTCCTGAGCAGGCGTTTCTGGCTTCTTACTTGCAAGGCACCCAGGATAAAGCCCAGGTTGCACACCTTGAGCTGTATAACAAAGCTGTTCGAGAGCTTAAGACCCGCCGTGCCACCCTCAAGTTTCCTGTGGTCCCTCTTGAGCGTTGGCGACTGTTGGCTGTGACCGATGCTGGCTGGGGCGTCCGTGCCAATGGCGAGTCCCAAGGTGGACTTGTGCTGTGTCTGTGTGACAAGGAGGTGCTAGAGCGTAGGCCAGGCCCGACTTGGATCATTGAGTGGTCTTCAAAGAAACTTCGTCGTGTAGTTAGGAGCTCTACCGCTGCCGAAACCCTCGCTGCTCAGAATGGCCTAGATGCAATCGAGTTTGCGCAAGCGTTCCTGCAAGAAGTCTTGTATGGCATGACCCCAAAGGTGTTCCAGCAATGGGTTCCTGAAAATAAGTCCGGGCTTGTCATTGACAGCAAATCCTTGTATGACGCCCTCACCCGATCTGCTTGCAGCAGTGCGCTGGCTATGGAAAAACGGTTGGCCATCGACTATGCCATAGCCAGAGCGTGCCTGAGTGAGAGAGGAGTCCTCCCGTTCTGGACTAACAACCTACAGATGGTGGCTGACTGCTTGACCAAGTTGAAGGGCAACAAAGAAGTGATGTACAAGTTGCTCGACACGTGCTGTTACCATGTTCGCCCTAGCAAGGAGTCCGGCAGGAAGGAAGCCGCCAAAGGCGCCCAAGGGGGCTCCCTCTAGAGAACCGTTGTAGGTTAGGAGCGGGGTCCGACTAGGCTAGATCACGAACTGCCTGGGTGTGACTTGAGATAGTGGGTTCTCCAGTACATGAGCAGTCGTGGGCCTCAGCTAGAGTACCCATTCCGAGAATTGTACAGTAGCCTGCAACCGCATCCTCCTTGCGAGGAGAAGCCAAGTTAATGATGTGTCGCCGGAAAAACTCCTGGCCCGGTGCCCTGCAAGTGGTGCCTAGATAATGTAATGTAAGACTTCCTTTGGGTCTGATAACATGACTCTTCCGTTGCCATCCTACCTTGCCGTTGGGACTGATAACCGAGTCTCTTCCTCTGACAGCGGTGCATGCGTCGAAAAGCTAAGCAATCGTGTCCGACGCCAGATTCTCCAAGAAGCAAGGGCTGCGAGTAGTTCTGTCTGCTATCCCTCCCGGGCCTTGGTTTCGTCATGACGGCCCGCAACCTCAAGCAGCAGCGCAGCCGCCAGGAGCCCCTTGCTCGTGATGAACTGGTCCAGTTCGTCTCCCGCGCGGCGGCGAACAACCAGGTGCCCGAGGTGCTCCAGGAGATAGAGGTGCAACGTCCGGATAAGATGATCCGTCGCGACCAGGACGTGGGAAGCCCTAAGTCTTGGTCCCATGACGTGGGAAGCCCTGCGAGCATGGCCTCCGACACTCCGAGCACCCGCGAGTACCTCCTGGTGCATGGTGTTGACCACAGCAAGCGCAATGGGCCTCCAATCCCAACGCCGGTGAACACACCAGCTCGCAACGGCCCTCCGCCTCCAGTGCCGTGTCTGGACCCGCTTCTGGAGACCATCGTCTTGGACATGGAGGGCGTGATCAACCTTCGTGCGCGGCCTCCTCGCATCGTGCGGGCTATGGTCGCCCGGCTCCAAGCTCCGTGGACACCTTCGGCACCATGACCTCCGACGCCGAGACCGATACAAGCTTCACCTTGCGCACCCCAGCCGGGGAGAACTCCGAGGAGTATGTCCTTCCGACGGCACATGTGGGCAAGCTTCCCCGGGGCATCCCTTCTCTGGCACGATGGGGTCAGACCTTGCTGATCCTACCGAAGTACAAGGAGAAGAAGTGGAGCTACCTCCAGCTGCTCCAGTTCGCCTGGAACAATAAGGATGCGATGTCGTACATCAAGTGGGTGAAGAACACCTACTACCACGATGCAAAGGACCCGAAGGGTGGCAAGGCTTCCGACCTGGCAGCCTTTGTTCTGGCATGTGACTATCCCATCGATCGCCGCTACCAGGAGATCCACAGCTCAGAACGGGTCTTCGTGGACTGATTACGACCTCCTCCTGGAGTACCTCTTCCGATGTCGAGCATAGAATCTCCGAAGTATGATGTGTTGATGTTGAAAACTTGTGTCAAGCTCGAAAAAGCTGGGCACTGCAGAAAACAGCTCTCATTGAGGGCGTGTAAAACCCCTCAGGTGAGCTGACCTTCGGAGTGCGAGAATGCTCGCTGTTTCTGGCCCAAGAGGGCCCTTGGTAGTCTTTCAGACGACAG